GCGGGCGGGCGGGCGGGCGGGGTGGGCCCGGCCAGGCCGCGATGGCGACCAGGAAGGCGGGCTCGCGCCTCGAGACGGAGATCGAGCGGTGCCGCTCCGAGTGCCAGTGGGAGCGGATCCCCGAGCTCGTCAAGCAGCTGTCGGCCAAGCTCATCGCCAACGGTAGGCGCCGGGCGCGCCGGCCTGGGCTGCGGGGCGGGGAGGGGGGGGGCGCCGCGCTCTCCTGCGGGCCAGGCCGGGCCCCGGAGGCGCGGCGGGGCGCGGGCAGGGGCGCGGCCGGGATTCGCGTGGTCCGCGCCGGGGAGGTGCATGGGGCCGGGGCCTGGGAGCCCCGGGTTCCCGGACGTCACGCGGTCGGGGCATCCAGCGGGCCAGGGCCGTGCCCTGCGTCCCAGAGTTCCGGCGTGCGGGCGGGCTCCTGTGGGGTCAGCGCGTCCGGGGGCTCAAGGAGCCCGCTGCCGGAGCGGGGTCCCAGGGGCCCGGGCGGCCTTCGGGTCCTAAGAAGTTGGAGGCGATGGGGGAGGGCGCTCCCCCGGGCACGGCCGTGAAGTGTGCAGGGGATTACAGGGTGTGCGTATGCTGTTCCGGGGGGGGGGGGGGGGGGTGTCGAACAGAGACCCCTGGGAAATATGGTTTGTAAACACGTGACGTTCAAGGGGCTCCAGGGGGAAGCTCAGACTTGGGGTAGGTGTAGGGGGTGGTGGTGGAAGGTAGGTGAATGTGTGTCCTGGGGTTCAGAGAGTAGGGTGTCAAAGCTGTGGACCTAGGGAGGTCGGGTTTGGGAATATAGGGGAAACAGTGAGGCGAGTCAGAGAGAGCATATGGTAGAGAGAGGTGGGAATGTAGTTGAGGAGTGGGGTTGGGGGGCCTAGGGGCTTGGTGCCCAGAGGAGGAAGGGGTCTGCGTAGGAGTCTGGTGCTTGGAGTTAATCTATGGCCCCGTTGACTGAATTGGTTCTTGTACCCAATCAAATCAAAATTGCATCCGAAATCCCATTTCAGAGCGCAGCTCCACGTGGCCTTATTTGTTTTGGAAGCAAGTATCCTTAATATTTCCTGGTCTTTTAGTACCCGCCAAAACTGCGGGCACCAATGGACTGGTGAGAGGGCAGAGGTTTTGTGTTATTTCATCCCTGGCAGCTTGAGGCTGGGTGAGCAAATGTTGGCTGAACAAATGAATGAAAGAATGAATGAATGAAAGACACTGCTCTAAGAAAGGACATCGGGCTGTTTTCAACCTTTTAACCTCAAGCCACTCAGAAATGGAGAGGGATGTCAAGTGTCTTGTTCAAGAGTGGTTTATGATTGTGTCTTTTATGGTATTAGTGCCTTGAAATAAGAACTTGGTTTTGCACACACTCAACTGTGGTACCTTGCTTTGGGCAGAAGTTTCCCCAGGGGATGCAGGTGCCATGACTGTCCTAGGGGCATGGAGGGAAGCATAGACCTACCTGGGCTCAACTCAGTGGAAAATGTTGCCTCTTCTCCTAGTAAGCATTCGAGGAAAATGGTGTTCAGTCTCCTGGGCCCCGACGGCAGCTTGACCTTGCCCTTCCCGGAAGGCTCACCAGCTTCTCCTCTTGCTCCTTCTCTCGTTACCTGCAGCATTTTCTCATTTCTTCTTAGAATTGGACAGTCCTGGGTCTACTTTGTCACTTCCCGGCTGTGTAGGCATAAAATACCTTTAGCGCAGGTTGATGTTAGAGTTAAATGCGTTCATTTGTGAGCCTCCTGGTTCTTTCCTTCAGAACCCACTTGTTTTCTGCTTTCTTTACTCATTCATTCAACCAATATTTGCGTGCCCACCTGTGCCAGGAATAGAACAGAGGTGAGCAGCACTGACCAAGCTCCAACCCTCACAGACTGAACCTCTTCTGAGGAGACAGGCAATGGCAAATACAGAAATCAAAATAAATGGGATAGCTTCATAGTGAGAAGTGATTTGAAGAAAACAGACGAGGTAATGGGATTGAGAGTGATGAGTAGGGGAGGAGGGTCGCCTCACACTGGGGTGGTCTCTGGAATAAGAGGGTAGATGGGCTTTTGGTGGCATAGGCCCATCCTACCTTCCCAGCCCCACAAGACTCGGCTCCCTTCCCAGAGCCTGAGCCTCAGTCATCATGGAGCTTTTGGGAGAGTGGGTTATGTGGGCCCCAGTGGTCCACGGGTCCGGGTGCAGGTTTGGTTTTGGGAAAATCATGAGAGAGAGATTCTGCCCTAGAACCCACATGGTTTGTAGCAGTCATTGATGGCAAAAGGTCACCCGGACTTGAAAAGGTCAAAGAGATTGCTCAGGAACATAACAAGATAAAGCAAAGAAAAAGATGAAACAAAACCAGAATTATTGTGGCTCTTCTTTGGGGTTCAGGGAAATGTTTGAAGGAGGGTCCTTCGCTTCCTTTGGCTGATGGGGGCTTCCTTGTGCTGGCGGTAGGATTTCCTCCTGGCCTTGAGGGCACCAGCTCCCCCTAGACCCTTTTGGGTGAACTGGACCTCGAATTCTGGGCAGATTTGGCAGAATCCTTAAGCAAAAGCATTTGCTGCTTACAATCAGGAAAGCGGGTTAATGTCACGTTTGTCATTGTAAGACAGTTTGAAGGCAGCCACAGGCCGAAAAGAACACAGTCGTCTTTGGAACCGGGCAGACCAGTGCCTGAGCCTAACTCTATGTCCTTGGCCAAATCCCTTAACTAACCACTCAGAGCTTCAGTCTCCTCATCTTAGAAGGGGGGGAAAGGACTGAGTTTGCAGGGGTGGTTACGAGGATCACTAATGACTCCCAGGGCTCATCAGTCTGAGCCGTTAGTATGCAGCCCCTTCATTCATTCATTCCACAGACAGCGAGTACTTGCTACAGGCTAGGCACTGTTGTAGGCACTGGGGATATACCACTGAACAAAACAGACAAAAATGACAAATGTCCCTGCCTTTATGAAGTCCACATTCTAGCGGGGAAGGGGCAGGGAGACATAAATAAAAATCACTAAGTAAAATTTATAGGATGCCAGATGGTGGTAAGTGGTATCAGAGGGGAATCAAGAGGGAAGAGGCAGCAGTGCTTTGGGAGTGGGCGGGGGTGGGGGGCACAAAAGTCACTAGTTTAATATGTGGCCAGGGAGGGCCTCACCGGGAAGGCAACATTTAAGATAGGCCCCGAGGCCGTGGAGGGGACGTCAAGGGCAGAGGCCTGATGAGGGCAGAGGGGTGGCAGGGCCAGATCACTTGGGGCCTTGGAGGTCATGGTTAAGGCTTTGGCTTTTCTCTGAATGAGGTGGGAGCCCAGGGAGGGGTCTGAGCGGAGGAGTCGTGCGTTCCCAGAGCTCCTGCTGGCAGAGACCTCCCTGCTCAGCAGCATTTGCTTCTCCTGGGACTGGAGCATGACAACCCCTCCCAGTAAGGGCTTGAAACAGTGGACACTTTTGGAGCATGCTGCTCCAGCCTGACTCCTTCGAGATAAATTAAACAGTTTGGCCAAGAGGTGAATAAGGAAGAAAAGGGCAAATGCCAAGCTGAACACAGACCTCGGAAATCCATTTTCTGCCTCATACTCCACTGTGAGTACCATTTTAATCACTCCCATCTCAAAAAAAAACAACCAACCAAACAAACAAACACAGCCCCCGCACCCCCCCCAAAATGTGTGACAGCTACATGTCAGGCCCCTGTGAGTTCCAGCAAGACAGTGATCACACAAGTTAAAAAGGGAGGGGTGATGTGGGAGAAAATTCGACTCAAGTCTAGATTCTCGCTGCCTGAAGTGTGGTCAGCGAAGCAGCAGCTTGGGCATCACATGGGAGCGTGTGAGGAATGCAGACTCTCGGGCCCCACCCCAGGGTCAGCACCTGCATCTTAACCAGGCATCCAGCATATTTGTGGGCACAGGGAATTCTGAGGTGCCCTGGCCTGGAACTGAGGTGGCACCCTGAGGGGGTTGGGGATAGAGATGGAAAACAACAGCACATCAGCTCCCTGTTGGCTCACAAGTCAGTTTTGGCCCTAGGAGGGCAGTCCCAGCTGCCCTCTCTCCCCAGAGTGTCACCCATTAGCCTCCCAATGGTGAGGTTCACTGCTGTGTGACAAAGTGCATGGCCTGGCACCTGGGCTTCGATCCACAATCTACCTGTAGCTGGGTGACCCTGAGCCAGTCAGTTAACCTCTCAGAGCCTGTGTTCTTCATTGCCGTGATAGGGTTAATAATCGTCCTCCATTAAGGTGGCTGTGAGGAAGAAATGGGTTGATATATGCAAACCTTGCTACATGCAAAATGCTGGTATTGACTCCCTCCAGCTGACTCAGTGTAACCCTGGACAAGGCAGGCCACGTCCTGGATAACACCTGGCTGGGACGAAGAGTGGGAGCCCTAGAAATGACACACCTGAGTTTGTGCCTGGTCAAGACTCCCACATTTTTCAATAGCAGAAACAGGAGCCTGTACCATTCCCAACAGACAGCCACTCCCTTTCTGAGGCCGTGTCTGCTTCTCCTTCCTTTCCCTGTCTGTTAATGTTAGGTAAGCTCAGTTACTGAGCTTACTTAGAACAATTAGGCCCCAAATGGTGGTTTCTCCTTTAAGGGATCATCACCGTTCTGATTGGGTATGATTTTGAGACATGCTAATTACCTCTTGGTGATGGGCAGGTAGGGAAATGGTGCCTGAAACAAAGAATATTTCTGGGGCAGAGTTTGGTTACAAAATGTATGCAGACCTTTGAGTGGGAGTGAAGTTCTTGCATTTGCCACTAGCTGATATTCCCAATGGCCTTGGTGCCTCCAGCCTGGTGGCATCCCCCTCTGGAAGTGGGCTGAGTTCCTGGACAGTTCCCTGAGTCTCAGGCCTCTGGAGCCTTTCCTGCCCATCTAGGGGCTTCTTTGGAAACAAGGCTGATGTTTAACGGAGAGCCTGCTGTGGGGTAGGAAAGTGGCACTGTTGTTTAGAATGGCTTCTTTGGACGTTCCCAGGGTGCTGCAGACTCCTGGGAGTCAGACTCTCCCCAGACAGTGGGGAAGGACAGTGAGACCTTGATGACACTCCACCCTAGCCTTCCCGGGGCATCCATCCTCTTTTCAAATACTCAGTCTTGTTGTCCTCTGAAGGACACACCTTTGTGGCAGACCATATGTCCTGATTTTTGGATTCAAAAGAGTCACTTATTTGACAATAAC